ATTCCTGCCCCTTTCTCTTCTCTCCCTATTTATCAGCCCCCCTTGTCTCTCTCTCCCAGTTCTGTGTTTCCTCTGGCCTTCTGTCCCTTATCCTCGTTTCCTTGCCTTCAGAGGGGATGCACGACTCTAACAAGGTGTGAAGATTGGCCCGGCCACTTGCATGCTGCATGGCTGGGGAGCAGTAAGGGTTGGGGCCACCTTTTTCAAGCCACAGCACTGCCAGTGAATGCAAAGGTGGGGTGCAGACCTCTGCTGCTGGCCCTCCATCCTCGCTTGTCCCCCTCTCCCACCAGCTGCCAGCCGTCCCGTCCCAACTGTGGGTGCATGTGACTCCTCCTGCCCCCATGTATCGCCCCGGCTCTCCTGTTACTGGTCGGGGGGGGGGACTATGAGGAGGTTCTTGGGTCTGTTTGTATTGACCCACTGACAACACTATTGATGGCCCAAGTACTGTGACATGGGGAAGGGGAAAGACAAGTCCTCTTCCGTCTCCCAAGCATTTACCTGTGCCTTGCTTCCTGTCATCTGGGCAGCATCGCCATCCTTCTCTATCTGCGCCGAAAATTCAACACCCCTGACCACTGGTACCCTTCAGACCTGCGGAAACGGGCCCGGGTTGATGAGTACCTGTCCTGGCAACACACTGCCATTCGGGAGAAAGGCTGCCGAATCTTCTTCACCAAGGTAAAGCTCTTAGACTGCTAGACTGTGTCAGTGCTGCCAATGCGTTTCCATTACCCTGCTCCACAGCCTCCCTCTTTCCTGTAAAGTACGGGTTGGAGCGTGGGATTGTTGAGGGCCCTGACGCAGCATCACTATCCCGCCAAGATGGTACCTTGCCAAGGTGGAGTAGAGCTCCATTGCACCCTAGAAACGACTTTGAAAAAGCACTGAGGTTGCGAAGCCCAGCACTTGCAAAGTTAGAAAAAGCCAGATGTATTCTCTGCTTGGAGTTTCTTACATGGGCGGCTGCAGCATTCCTAGATGCTGTGCCTCACTAGCCCATGACAGACCAGCTGATACTCGGAACCCAAAGTGGAACTTCTATTGTATCCCTGGGAGGGATGTAAAGTCCCATTTCATTGATTAACTGGCTAAACATAATGCTTAACTGATTAAAGGAGGGGCAGGGGTTGGGGGCGCTCCAGCACAGCTGGGCAGAAGCAGCCCCCTGACTGGAAGGGTGAGGTTTATCAGTTAAACATTCACATCGCTAATGGCTGGTGAGCCAGCACTCTGCCTGAGGGATTAAAACAACCTCACTGACTCCTCCTGCATGATTCTTTTATATTCTAGCCCCAGTTCTTCCCAAGAGAGAATCTGCAGGACCATTCTCTCCACTGTGCTCAGTCCAGACTAGTAAATGTAACTGATCCGGCCCGACCAGGGTAGGACGGTGCCAGATGCTGACCCCTTTCCTCCTGCTTTCTCTCTGATCAGGCATGGTGGCACCTGTCTCTGCAGAGATAGACCCTCCCTTCGTCAAAGAAGGGGTTGTGATCAGAGTTCCCTGTAAGCTGAGTGCTTGGGCGTATGCCCAGGAGAAATTCAGGTGCCACCCAGCTGATTAGCAGGGTGCCAAAAGCCAGCAGCATGTGTTTCTGCTGGTGGTGCACCTCTGCACCTGCCTTGGTGCACAGAACACAATTTATTCTGCACACGGATGGAAAAAATTAGAGGGAACTTTGGTTGTGATTGGAATTAGCAAGGGTTGGTTTTTGAAGGCAAATGTCTCCAAAGCAGAGAATATGAACAGGCCTTCCTGGCTTGGAGGAGCAGGATGCAACAGGCTGTAATGCTACGCAGTGTGGCAGAGGAGGTCCCAGCATCCGTTAACCCAGCCCACTCCACGTTACACAAATGAGAGACACTCAGCATGGTTCAGGGTGCAGTGGCGGCCTCGTAGTGGATGGACTGAAAATGGCAGGTAACATGTCAGGGCTACATTTTCCTCTCGCTGGTAGGTGCTGATGCCTCTCGCGGTTGGGCAGCCGTTTTCTCCAGACAAGCTAGAGGAGGCTGTCAAGGAAATGAATTTCACCCTAGTGCAGTTTGAGGAGAAGTTCCTGCAGGACAAGCCCTTCATCGTGGGCAGCGAGATCTCCCTGGCAGACCTGGTGGCTATTGTGGAGCTCATGCAGGTGAGTGTCGGTGCTACCGGTTCCAGCCAGACGTCAGACAGAGGCTACATCTAGACTGCAGGCTTCTTTGGGAAGAAGCTTTTCCGGAAGAGATCTTCCAGAAAAACTTCTTCCAAAAGAGAGAGTCCACGTGGCCAAAGAGCATTGAAAAAGCAATCTGGTTTTTCGACAGATAGCATCCACGCTGAATGAACACTCTCTCGCATGCAAGCTCTGATTGCTATGGACGGATTGGCCACCAGGGCACCTGTGCTTTCTCCTCTTTTCTCTTCTTCCAAAAAAACTCCCTCTTCCCCATCCACACACGCCTTTTCCCGAAAGAGCTCTTTCGCAAAAAGGCTTCTTCCTCATAGAATGAGGATTACCAATGCTGGAAAAACCCTTCTTTTCTTTCCATTTTCTTGCAGAAGAACACAATTGCAGTGCAGACATAACTCAAGGGTGTGGTGTATTTTTTTTTTTTTTTAAACGGCCATTTTTGTTGGGGGAGAGGGGGAGAACCCTCTGTCATCTAGATATACCCAAAGCAAGCTCCGTTTCTGGGAGTGCCTGCTAAGACGTGGCTTTCGGATCCTGCAAAAATATCTCAAAAATAAGAGTTTCTTTGCCAGTTTGTGTTTATCGTTTTTTGGATAAGGTGAAAAACAGTTGAAGGGACACTAAGGAAATGAGAAATATTTTGAATGAAAAACTTTTAAGTCTGCTCTGAGTACTGGTTCTCTGGCAGAAACAACTGGAAATCAGTAAACTAGTTGAAAAGTCTTAAATTACTTGGAACTTACTCTTGGGTGAGAGTAACTGGAGGTGCTCAGCACTGTGGGAAAACTATCAGTATTTAAAACTTACTGAGTAGTGCATGGATGTTCCTTCCTTAGACCAAGAATTCTACAGAGGAAAGTCTGGTGGGATGTTTTGCTTTTTCTCTCGAAGTGCTGAACATTCCGTCTAAACTTGGGGTACGTCTAGACTACATGCCTTTGTCGCCAGAGGCATGTAGATTAGGCTACCAGGCATAGGAAAATGAAGCGGCGATTTAAATAATCGCCGCTTCATTTAAATTTACATGGCTGCCGCGCTGAGGTGACAAACAGCTGATCAGGCATAACGGACAAGGCATAATGGGGATGTCGATAAAGGGCTTACAGGTCGGCGCGGGAGTACTTTTCATTTTGTTTCTTGATACAGTTGTCTTTAACATTTGACACTCACGCGGCTGTTTTGTCTTGTCTATATTTTCATTGCCCAGCGGAATGAAATGCCAGTTTTGTCACATTCTGACTTTTATCTGTTCGCATGATCCTAATTTTTTGGGTTGCAAACCTTGCAGAGGGATTTCTAATCCCAAATAATGAAGTGTTTCCAATGAAAACTCAAGAATTCCTTTCCTTTCTAATGATGTGGTAGAGGGCAGACGGAGAAGACCCATAGCTACATGAAGACACTCAGAGGAATAGCAGTCACTGTTATCCTCAGATACTACCCTAGTCTCCTAAAAAGGGCAAAACTTGAAATGAGCTGAAAATGGGCCCTAAACTCTCATATCTTCCAGATTTTACTTGAGCCACTTCACCTGAAATTTACTTTGAACTCAGCTGGCTTTTGGGTTTTAGTCTCATCCTTCTGAGTGGATTGTGTGTTATACTGTTTGCATGGAAGTAGTGCCAATGTGGTTTTTGCTTTTGTCTCGGCTTTGCGGACAGGCCCAAGCTGGCAGCATGGCGCAGCCGGGGGGAGGAAGCGGTGGGGAAGGAGCTCTTCCAGGAAGCACACAAGCAAGTCCTTAATGCCAAGAGTCTGGGATCCATGCAGCTTTCCTCAGAACTGAAGGAGCATCTGAAACAGATTCTAAAGCCTTGAATTAAAAAAAGGGAAAGTGACCCTCTAAGCAAAGCTAATCCCGTGTAGGGTTTTTTTCTGTGCATTTAACTCCCTTGTCCAACACTGCATCTCAGTGGCCCTCCTTCCTGAGATGAAAGAATTGCACCTTACTAACAATACTTTTAAACACAGTTCTTCTCTCCCTCCCCCACGCCCTGATCCCAGCCCTCCCTCACTGTACATCTCAGGAGAGGCTACCGTTGTACTTAAAAGAAGCACCCCGGATCTTTTTCCGAGGGATAAGGCATCATGCCACATTTATTGAACATACATAGATCAATCAAGACTTATCATATGCATATGATATATATATCACTCATGCAGTCTTACACACACACACACACACACACACAAGCACACTCTGTCTTGTTGTTACCAACTAGTTGCTCCCCTTAACTTCACTTGCCAGGTAAATTAGATGGGGGAGGGGTGAAGCAACCAGCTTGATTCAGGAATGCATTCCAGGGCAAAAATCTCCAGGATACTCCCAGGAAAAGTTTCGCAACTTCTCAAACAAAAGGCAATGTCTTTTGTACTATTTTACATGGTAATCACCCCTTTCCCCCTGACCACTTACAGCTGCATGTATACACAGGTCATGCCCCTTTGCACCAAATTCCCTCCAATCATTACCTGCCCTCTCACAGTCCCTTTTCAGGCCTTACAACAGGTTCAAACCAGTTTCACCGATCCCCTCCTTTTGTATACCTGTGTCCAAGTACCTACCTCTTTACAAAGACCAGACTTAACATCCAGGTCACACAGAGGTCATACTGACAACAAATTAATTTTATCCTTCACTGCAAGTTTTCTGCATAGGGTTCTAATACAAAGTTCCCATATCAAATAGGGGTCTAATACAAGGTTATACGGAAAGGCACAATGCCAAGTCATATGAAATTATGTGAAGATACTTAATACATAGATTTATCTACACTACCTCTTGTTACAAACACGGAATCACCCTTTCACCCTGTGAGCGGTAGCATTGGGAGGGGCTCCTTTCTTTCCTTGAGTCATCGTTGCCGGACTTACCTGGGACTCACAGCAGCTCTGTCCACACAAGTGCTCTGCATGGTGCAAGCCCCCAGTCCCTCACTGGCGAGAGGCCTACATTTTGGAGATGTGGGTACATTAGTGTTGTGGCTCACAGTAGGGCTGTTAAAAAGAAGTCACGGTTAAGAACCCTTGCTGTTACACACACTGCAGGCGCTGCTGTATAAGGCTTATACAGTAGATTAGCCTGCAGCACAGTTGGCTCCCTGGGAAAGGGACGGAGCTGCCTTATGCATGCCAGGTCCTGGCCCCACTCCCGGGAAGCTGGCTGCAGTGCTTCATACTGCAGGGCCCGCAGCATGGGACAGCAGCTGGCTCTCCGGGAGCAGGGCCGGGAGCCAGTGCTTGCCTGCAAAGAGGGTAACTGAAACCAGTGGGCGTATGCGTATCAGGTAACCGTGTAACCGGTTGCACTGCGACATGCCTAGGTCACATGGGGCGGGAGGGAGCAGATTCCAAATGGGGAAGGAAAAGTATTTAGAGGCCAACCCCTGATCTGCACTCCAGCCTTGGGGCAGTACAGTCGCCTCGCTGCGCTTTTACACCTGGCCAAGGAAAGCGCACAGAGACCCTCCAGCGGGACGGAATATAACAAGTGCTGGGATGCTGGGCATGAGAATTTCTAAGCAAGCGCATGCCAGGGGGCCAGCGAGGCAGTGGAAAGAGAGAGCTGCAGCCTCTCACTTAAGTTTCCTACCACAGCAGAACCCTGTTTCCCATCTCCCCAATGCAGGCAGCCTCCCTTGTTTTCCCAGGCAGCTACTGGGGGTGGGAATAGTGTGAGAAGCCCCCGTTCTCACAAAAGCACATGGCCCTGCGTCTGGCTTCACTGAGTGCCGAGCAGGGCCGGGCAGGCAGGGGGCCAGCTGAGGCTCTCATGGGCCAGATCTATCCCTGGATCACATTTTGCCCAGCCCTGCCCAGGCTGGTGGAGTGGCGCAATCGAGTGGAGAAGGCGCGTTTCCAGGAATACTTAAAGTGCTCCTGAATTTCAAGGATTTGAATAACCTGCTGACTGAGCCACAGCTAAAAGGCTGGCAGGCCAGTCCCAGCCACTTTAAACAGCAGGCTGCTAATTGCTACGCAGTCTGGGCAGGGAGGAGAAAGCTTTGTGCACTATCCCTGCCCCCTAGCAAAATCTCGCAGCTCCCAATGGCCAGTTTCTGGCCAATAGCAGCTGCCTGTTTTCAGGACAGGCAGAATGTGAAGCGCCCCTCCTGCCTCATGCCCTGGGCTCACAGTGTTTGCAGCATGTGGCCCTAGTAGCTGCAGTGAGCAGTTCAGGGGCGTGGAAGGCAGAGACCCTGGTTAAGGAACCTGCTGGGCTGCTGGCTGGGAGCCACCCAGGTAAGGTCTCCCAGCCAGAGCCGGCCTCTGGCACCTGAGCCCTTCTCTCTCCTCAACCCTCTGCTCCCCCTACCCCATGTAACCCAAATCTTCTGCACCCCTGCTCCGACCCCCCCCCCCACACTTTTTCAGACACTGCACCCCCTCCTACACGCTCCTCAGGCCATAACCCCCTCGCAGACCTTGCACCCCGATCCACTAGCCCTGGTCACATGGTCCTAGCAACATGTGTGTATCAATGTAAATAAAAACTATGGAGATTGTTTCCAACTCATTCCTCCCGGTGTTCAAAAAAAAGAATTAGAGACGCTTATGGAGGATAGGTCCAGCGAGTGCTATTAGCCAAAAGGGTGAGGGGCTTCCCTAAACCTCTCACTGACAGAAACCACCCCGATCCACTAGCCCTGGTCACATGGTCCTAGCAACATGTGTGTATCAATGTAAATAAAAACTATGGAGATTGTTTCCAACTCATTCCTCCCGGTGTTCAAAAAAAAGAATTAGAGACGCTTATGGAGGATAGGTCCAGCGAGTGCTATTAGCCAAAAGGGTGAGGGGCTTCCCTAAACCTCTCACTGACAGAAACTGGGGGCTAGATCACGTGATAAATTGCCCAGTTCTGGTTATTCCCTCTGAAGCACTTGGCACCAGTCACTGTGGGCAGACAGGACACTGGGCTAGACAGACCATTGGTCTGACCCCATCTGGCCTGTCCGATGTCCCTGCTCACCATTACAAGATTGCTGTCACCCGGCCTCAGTTCATGGGGCTGCTGATAGAAGGCCAACTCCTCCTCCTAGTGTGCTACAGGGAAAAAGCCCACTTAGTCGCACTGCCCGGGAGACAAAGGGCTAACCACACTAACGCAGTGGCTACCGCACTTGAACTCACAACTAATGCAAACTGACACAAGCAAGCTAAAAACAATCATGAAAAGTTTACATAATAATTTCATTAAAGAGAATTGAAATAATTAGAGATATGAATAAAGATTTTTAGTTACTAAAGGTTATGCCTATGAGGTCACATGACCACACACAACGTGTTCCTAAACAATGAGGCTTCCCCCCTGTATTCTGTCTGTTGTGCATGGCTCAGGTACCCAGGGGATGCACATGAAGACACAGTGCAGGCCGGTAATGTGATGCTGTTAGCAATACATTGCATTATACTGGGAACTGGCAGTCCATGTAAATGAAAATCCTTTTTAATGGGTTTTAATCGTGCAAGATTAAAGCCTAAACCCTTCATTATAATGTCATTGGTCTCAGTTTTGTACTCGGTCCACGACCCTGAAATGCCTTTTATGTCGCTGAGCAATCCCTCCTGAGAGCAAAGCCCCCAGTGCCTGTCTCAACTGCAGATGGCCATCTGGATGGAAACTTTCCAGCGCTCTGATGCCAGACCCCGGTTCCTTGGGTAACATGGCCTCCCAAATCTACAGATCAGCCTCAAATCTCATCTCACCCCTAAAAACACTAGGCATCTCTGGCAGTGGATTTCTCACGTCACCAGGCAACGGTAGCGAGGAAATGTATCTATGTACTTATATAGCCCTGGTGCTGTAGTATTGGAGTCAGAGGCGTAGTGAAGGGGGGGGCAGGGAGGGGCAGTGGCCCTTGAGTGCCACACTGGGAGGGGAGGCTCCTGCTTGGGGTGAGACCGAAGCACACACTGCTCTGGCCCACGTGACTCTTTGAGCAGAGACCTGGGATCTTCTGGCTACGTGCTGCCAGCTCGCTACATACTGCCAGCTGAAGCAGCCAGGCTGGGTGGGAGGAGCAGGGGTTTTAAAGGTACGTTCTTCCGGTGCCTGGCTGCGGGGGGCGAGTGCTCTGGGGGAGGAGAGGGGAGTGCATGGCAGGGGCTGGCCTTGGGGCCGGGGCGGGGGGGGGGGATTTGGAT